ACGAATACGAATAACTGTATCAAACAACTGAACCAACCAAAAAAAAAAAACCTCACATCAAAATTTTATTGTTTGTGCACTAAGCCAAGAATAAAACATAGCTTGCAAATGTTTAAAATCAAGAGGGTCAAATTTAGCTCTAGGATAAACAGTTACAACAAAATTATGTACAGCTACATTTGAACTGATTTTGTCCTTATGCCTATTGTTTGGTTTTAATATAATAGCAAACTTACTTGTCAAATCAGTGTCATAACATCTATTGTTTAAATAGCATAGAAACAAAAATGTTGAGGCAGAAATGGTTAGACAATGCTATGAACACAAACACATGCAAATATTAATCTTAAGTCTTCAAAATGCTCGTGCATCCTACCGGTTTTTCTATGTTCAGATCTGTGTTGCAGAAAAGTTAAACAGAAAAGTTAAACTCACCGTAAGTAAAATATTCTATTTCTGGAGGAAGCGTGACCTCAGAAAGGTCATTCTCCTCAATGTAGTTGTCCACATATTGTTGTGCTTTTGTAAATGCCAGAAGCCTCGCTGTGAAAGCGGCAATGAAAATGGACAGCATCCCAAAATCCAAAACATTCCATAACTGCAAAATATATTCCCTGGGTCCTTCCAGCCACAGCTCTTTGCATTCTGACCACATCATACCTGCAATAAGAAAAAAACATAGCAATGTTGGCCAAACTCTTCTCATTTAAACTCTCCCATTTGAATTCTCCCATTTCATGAAACCAGGTGGTACCAGTGGAGCAAAAATTCACTTATTTGTAGTGTCACTGTGTCATCATACACCTTGAGTAAGGCTTTCTTAGTTTCAACAGGGTTGATCAAATGGCAAGGTATTAATTGATATGCAGGGATAAAGCTCAGCCGTGTCCACACAGGGTAATGTAGAGCCACAACTTTGCAGTGAAAGTATTATGGCCTAACAACATAACAATGTGCTGTACTTCTAAAGAAGGCAAAATGTTAAATGTGGAAAAAGAACTCCCCTCATTTCCTTACCATTTACATTCATAAAACACTTCTGAATCAGAAGGATTAATTTTTACAGAGGAGCACAACTACCCAACCACACAGACGACCAAATATAAATGGCACAATTACACTACTGGTTCTCCCCTTTACAGAATAAGATGCTTTTCAGCACAGAAAGTGGAATTTGGCTACGTCTAATTCAGTTTTCTTACTCAAGCTTCTCCGCAGAGATTCATTTACGTGGAATTAATCCAGATCACAGCCTCATCATAACCTAGAGATGAAGTTGTTGGGAATCAAGACTTTTTCTTACTTCAAAAAAGTTTCTTAGGGGAAAAAACAAAAGCAAACAACACCACCACAACCCCACAACTTTTTTCCTTGTTTCCCTGGCTGGGTAATTCAGAGAGGGTACTGCTGCCATCCCAACCATACACACAACAGCCACGTACTGGATTGGCTTGAGGCTGGTTGTCTCTTGAGTGCCCAAGAAATTTCTCACAGTGACCGAGTCCTAAAGACCGTCAAAATCTCAGTCCTTGCCTTCTGTCAAATAAAGAGGCTGCTCCCCACGAGTATATGCTGGGACTACCAAAAGGCAGCATACAAGAGATATGCATCTCCCTACCCTAACATAGTTTAGGATAAAGCAGTGCTTAAATCAGGAGATACAGGGGATTCAAAAGGCAGAGCGAGGCGCCTTCACGCAGCAGCTGCAGTAACACTTCCTTTCTCTTCCACAGCCTGTAAAAGCTGAGAATGCTACATTATCATGTGGCTAAACTGACATTTTGCTACATAAAGCACCTGACTTTGATGAAATGCTAGAAGATAGCATTTTCTGCCATACACAGTTTCAAACAGGCTGACAGCTGATCAGGTTTTGTGGGAAAAAAAAAAAAGAAAAAAAAAAAAGAAAAAAAAAAAAAAAAAAAAAAAAAAAAAAAAAAGGAGTAATGAGAACTGACTTATTAGCCCCTTGACACTGGCAGAAACTGTCATTTCCCCCAGTGCTCCCTCGGCAGCAATGCCACACAAGCACTGATGCGCTAGCACGTTAACACCCAGCAGTAGGAACTCCTGACCTTCTGGCACGTACAGCAGCGTAGGCTCCCTGATACTATTTAAGAAAACCACTTCAGTGAAGTATCATTTCTGTGGTGTTCTCTTCAGCAAACCTGCGCTCCTGTTACAAATGCCAGAATTACCAAACAGTGCGCCAAATCAGCGAACAAAATTTTACCCCATGCTGCAAGAGGGGGCAGCACAGAGATGCTCTGATGCTCTCACCAGTTCTAATGCATTGTCATCTGCCCTAAGGGTTTATTCTACCCGCGCAGCAGCTGGAGCAAAGGATTGGGACCTGGGCTTCCCCCCTTTCTTTTAGAATTTATATCTGCAGGAAAACAGTTGACATAAAGATGAAGGGGCAATATACCTACCAAGTACCCATACCATGATCAACATTTCTGTCCAGGTGAACTGGGTCGTCTTCACCCTAAAGATCTGCTTAGGGTAATCCGTAACAGTGACATTCGGTAGCGTTGTTATACCTTCAAATCTGTCTGAAGCATTGAACACCAGCAGGCCTAGGAAAATAATGAAGGATGCTGCATGTGCCACAAATTTCATAAATGGGCTTCGAAGAATTCTTCCAAGCTGCAAAGGCAGAATGAAAGCAGTCACTCAGTTTTCTCAAAGAAACAAACTCTTTCATCAGGCATTCCAGAAACATAAACAGGCACTCAGAGCTCAGGACAGTCTGAAAACTCAGTTTTAAAGGATACTCTTCTAAGTGCACTGAACTGTGGTGCTTTACCATTTCAGACAAAAGTCTCCCAAAGGCAGCCTCATGGAGTATGCTGTCCTATTAGTGAGCATTCATGTTATTCCATAAACTCTAGATGGCAATGTTTGAGGGGAAACACTCCAAGGAATTACAAACGTACAATGGCTGTGACCAGAAGGAGTTTGATCTAATGCCCACAGATACCAATGGGGGGCAGAAGCAAGCCCATGGAAAATAAATAAATAAAACCTCCAAGAGAAAAAAAAAAGAGTGTACTATTAGCTTGTCTATGACTATAGCTCTAGTCTAGAAAAATTACAACTCGTCTTCTCATCTCTGGCTACTGTATTCCATCCACAGAATATCTGTTCAGAGCTATAAGTGCCAAATAAATAACCTGTGTCTACTAAAAACGATGACTGTTCCATCACAATGGGCTAAGAAGGACAAGATCAGAAATATTACTATTTTCAAATACATGCAGCTGATTTCATTCATACCTGCACCTGGCAGAAGAACGAAACAGCAACAGCAGAGGCAGTCCATCTGCACCAGAAAAAGAGGACCGGCTGCCTCCAGAAGACTACACTGGAAAGAGCAATGGGCCTGTCGCTGTTACTCGCTGTATGAAAAAGAAGAGTCTGTGATCCCATCAGTACTAACCTTATCCTGCAAGCCAGCATCAGAAGTGCCAAGCTATAAGCCCACTCCTCTGAGGGCAATACTGCCAGTATCCTTTACTTAGGCAGTGAAGGTCTCGTGCGGCCAGTGCTGCTGCAACTCCCTACCCCGTGCTCAAAAAACGCAGGTATCGGTGAGGCTGCGCCACAGACAGCAGTTTGTGCGTTGGCTCAAGCACAGAGATTCCCCAGCGATGCTCTTTGGAGACCTCTTGGAGGGAACGCACATGGAGGTTTACTTGTCCTTCCCCGACTACTTCCTTTCAGAGGCCTGAGCGGGACAATGCTTGTCCCATCTCTGCAGAAGCTGTGGCAAGGTAGATGCCAGAAAGACTTCTTGGTCTTAGCTGCTGCTGCTAAGTTTGACCTCGTAAGGCCAAAGGTCTCCTGTCTCCTTCAGTACAACAGAACAATATACTGCTCTGCACATAATGCCCGACCTTTATTAATGTTAATATACAGTTCTGACGTGATAAACTATCACATACATCAATGTTAAGCAATATTCCAAAACCCCCTGTGAAGAGCTGCATTATCAGCGGTATCGTATAAGAAGAGAAAAACAAGTTCAGCAGATGGGGAACTGGAAGTAGCTTTCTTATTTCAAGGAATGGTTTTCCTGAAACTGGGGTCAGCTACTCTGAACTAAGTGGACCAGCACACACTAAATAGCATTTACTACCTGTGCACACAATCTCAGGTTCCCTCCCTGCTCCTGACCTTTAGAAAGCATTTTGAAATTACAATATCAAACAACTGATCCGAATGTACAGTACTTTTGTTTGACACGAGCACTAGGAAAAATGTCAGGTGCTTCTGGTACTGGGAATTAAAGCTCAAGGACAAATGTTACTTTTACATATTAGACATCAGCTAAAAATATATTAATACGTTCCTGTGATATGGAGCTGTGAGTGAGGAATATCTTCACTACAGATATTCACGGAAAGTGACATTGCAGAGAATAATGAGAGTAACAATTATACTGTCCTCATAAGGGTTTATCTTTAAAGTAAATAAATATTTAACCCAGAGAAAACATCAGGTTCCCTTGAAATATGCAGGAGATGAGCAAAATCTTATCTTTTTTGAGGTGAGCTACAAGAGCAAAATATAAGTGAAACTCACATTTCCTTGCTGTACACTTGTTCAGGAAATAAAATTGAAAGACCACATTCAGCACAGAAGTAAATGAACTTAAAATTTTAGAAGTTAATGTAACAGAGAAACCTTCCTCCTTCTGACTTACCAAAGATCTATCAATATGCTTCATTTGCAGACAATTCACATGCTACAGACTATAAGGATTTCAAAGAAACTGCTGTTATTTTCATTGTGAGATCATCAGGAAAGCTGGAAGCACCCATATATTTTCATATAATTTTAAAGAGGTAAGAGTTTACAGTTGCGCACTTTTACGAATATACCCTACCACATGGTTGGAATACCACATTTAGTTTAATTTCTGCTCTATGGTTCACCTCGTAAACAGACCTCCTAGAGCAGGAATAACAAATATTTTATTTAAGTTCTGCATCAGTGAAGTCAACAGATGTTCTTCTGCTAATGGTTTATAGCAGAGAACAGCATCAGCTCTTAAGATGCCATCAGACCTAATACAGAATCTGAGTGGTGACTTCCATAAAATTCATGTTACTAATACAAATACAATTACATAGCAGAGATTGTGAGTTTAGCACGATCTACGGAATTTTAAAAAAGAAAAAAAGCTCTCAGAGAAGGTTGGTTTTTTTCTTTAAACTTAACAACAATTTATTTTCATGCTTCATCACTGTGGTCCCCTCTTTACAGTGCAAATAAAACAAATAGCATCTTTTGGCTCAAGACTAGAGATTACTAAAAATATCGTTAATTAGTTAAAATTTGGAAGCAGCAGAATTAGAGGTACAATATTGCATTTTGAATGCCAGAAACTGAAAAACAGCTCCCAGAATAGTACAAGATACATAATTTATAAAATTCAGTACCCTGCTACATGGTGCAATCCAATAACCAATGGCTAGAAATGGAAGGCCCAGTGCCACAACCAGCACAACCAGACACTTGATAGCTATGGTCTGCTCCCGTAATCCTGAGAGATTTTCGTACCAGATAGTCAGTAGCTGTTGCTGACAGTTTGGATGGGCCACAAACTGTAAAGAAAAAGAAAGAAAACCAAGACATATTACAATTTATAAAAAGAGTTGTATAACTGCTACATACGTAATCACGAACACCTTAAATATCTGGTGTTAATTTAGACCTTAAGAACCATGTTTCTTCTCCTTTCCTTTAAAATAAAGGTTAATAAATAAAGAAGAAACTACTGAGCTGATTTAAAGCAGCACTTTGGGGACAAGGTTGCACATGCGGACAGCCATCGCTGATAGAAGCCTTTTATGCATTATTAGAACAGTTTCGCATACCCAACTGGATCCTGTCAGAGTTGAGCCTCAGTCCTAACTTCCACCAATTTCTCAGCAAATCCAGCTGATCCAAGGTACATGCAGAATTTCTGCGGAGACTGAAAATTCTGGTCTGACCATAATCCACCGTTAGCCTCTCCCCTTCCCGCACATGCTCTTCACAAACCTCCTCAAGCATCATTGCCAATTGATTTGGTTCTTTGACAAAGGCTCCAAATACCTCCTCAACCATCTATACATTTCAGTCTAAAACTTACTGAGGAAAGAAATAAATTAAGCGAAAGTACAGCACAGAATTTTAAACCTCACCAGAACACACACAGATGAATACTGAAAAATGTTCTTTGCCTAGCTGCAGTAAGAGTTCAGTATGTTCACAGGGAAAGGGAATGATTCCCAAATTAAGTATGGAATGATGAAACAAGCTGCTGCCAACAACTGCATTTGTTTAGATATGCTTTAAGTTTTATTTTACTAAAGTCACTTTTGGTTGAGTTTGTTGAAGGGTGAGCATGTATTGCTCTATTTTTAAAGCATTGTTGTATTTCTTTAGGATGAAGCAATGTGGACAGAGGAGACTGTGCAGCCACCCCATCAGGATCATGTCGTGTAACCACGAGTGTGTAGCCCATGTTGGGTGCTGCTACTGAAGAAACATGAGGGGCGGGAGGGAAGAAGAATTCTATAGCTCCCTATGTTCTTTGCCCATTATATTTACATTTCTGGTTACGTCCCTTTCTAAAGTGTTATCATATTCATCATTACCACTATTACTATTATACCATGTCCTGTGAGACTGCCACATTACAAGAGCATTTGGGACATCAGTTAAGCACAAGAATAAACAGCCTAGTTATCACAGCAATTTGAAGAAATCTGGTAATACTACTTGTCATGTTGGTTGACAATAACTAGTAAATTGGAGTTAAGAATGCTAGGCAGTTTCACAAAAAGGATTTGAAAATAATTCTGATAACGCTGATAATCCGTGTTGAATTAAGAGAGAGATTTGATCCCAGTTGCTTATACTTAAAAAAAAAAAAAATTAAAAAATACTGTAACCTTGGATATCCATTTTATTATCCTTTGTACTCTGTTGAGATCATAATGTGCTATATACACTGTTGTTTGCCAGGTGTTGCCTGCAAAACTCCATTTATATTCCAGATCTCATTAAAAAGTGCCTACAGTAGTATGATAGGGCAGACTTCTTTAAAAAAAAAATCAAACTAAATCATTGACAATGAAAACAGGGAACCTTAAAACTCTCAAGAGGAAGAATCTGAAGCTGTTGCATGAACTTTAAAGAGGGAAGCAATCTTCATATTTTAATCTACTTTGCTCTAAAACAAAAGTCCCAAAGTATTTTGGTGTGTGACTCATTAACCAGTTAGATGACATATTAATGCAGTTTGTACCTATAGTGGAACGGCCAATAGAAATAAATAAAAAGATTTTTAAAGTCTTTTAAGAAATTAATGTCAGCTTGAACTATTGTTTGTATTCTTTTTATTAGGCTGTCACCTTTGAAGCTTATGCACCATAAAAACTGCCAGCCTGGCCCACTTGAAAAAAAGAGACTGGTTTTTGTGTGTTCGTGCATTCTGACATATGCCCCTGGCCTCTTCTTTTGCTAAGATAAATTTCATTCTCAACTCAGGACATCAGGGGACAAATCCCACAGCAGATTAACTGTGGCCAGAGACAGGAAAGTAAATAATTATTTCAAATTACAAAGACATTTTTAAAAAGCAGTCTTAAAACTGTAGGGAAGAAGAGAGAGAAGAAACACCCACATCATTCCTCCTACTACCAGAGGGAATGGGAAGAAACAGCCAAGGAGCTTTAAGGGAGCTCGCCTAGGGCTATGAATCAGCCCACAGGCCCTCTTGCATCTCATCCAGGGCTGTGTGCTGTTTTATTCCTCCTGGTCTATCAACATTTTGATCTGACGCTAAGAGGAGATCTGCCTGTGCTATAATTTTCCCCAGAAAAGGAAGGAGTTAGTAAACAAGATGCCAATGGTTATGGCAAGTTCTTCCCTGGCAGTAAGTCTAAGGGCTCTCGAGAAGATTCTTGCAACTTATTTAACTGTTGGCAACTGCACAATATGCACCAATTCCAAGCCCTCAGAGCAACTTGTGTCACTTCTCCCATCCATAAAAGCTCTGAAATTCATCCTTCTCTCCAGCTCTGCTGAAATATTTGAATTTATGATCTTTTTTTTTTATTTTCAGCAACTGCAACCTCTTCTATGTTTTTTTTCTACCTGTATATCTGTCTCCACTCTCAGCTTCATCTCCTCCGAGGACAGTAGATTCACATCATATTTCACGTATCAATCACATCATCTTACAACCTTGTTCCTTCTGCATTTCTCTTCTCTTACCCTACTTTCCATGCAGTTTCTTACTTTTCATTACATGTTGATCTTATCATCACATTTATCTAATATTTTAGGATCCAATCCAAACCCCAGAGAACAACAAAGATGCATGAGGACAGTATCTGGTCCTAAAAAAAATCCCAATTTTAATTTAGCTTCTTTTCTGGGCATAATTGACTGTAACAATACAGATGCATCCAGTTTCATGACCATGAACCGAGTCATCAGTATGTAAGTATATTTCTGTATGACTAAGAGTGATTATAATGTTATTTATTCCTAACATCCTAATGACTGAGTTCAGACATCACAGGAACAGATCCTGGCACACTCTGATACACAAACACACAACATAGAGAGAATTTTGAATCTTCTTTCTTATCTATCAATTCAAAACTTCAGTGTTTGACAATTAAATCCTGTGATTTTACTCAAACTCTTATTGATTTCACTTGGAAATTCCACTCTGATTTTTATCTCAGCAAGGACTGCAGAACTTGGCCCAGTGTCAGCAACTTCTCTGAAGTTTTGTTGACAATCTAAAGACAGAGTTGATACAATCCTAAAAGCACTACTGCAGCAGCAATTCAGCATAGAGAACAAGACTACTTGTTCTAACTAGTTTTGGGGTTTTTTTTGTTTTTTGTTTTTTGGGGTTTTTTTTAATTCCTTAGTCCTTCACTATTGGGGCTGCAGTTTCAGTCTGAACCTTAGCTTCAAAATCATATCCTGTTTACAAGATGGGCTACACTTTAATGCAGTGCTTAGGGTATTAAGTGTAAGAGTTTCGTTACTAATAGAATTAAAAACTCCATTTCCTTAGCAGTGAACTTATAAGCACATTTGCTCACTTGTCACACGCTTTTTCCTGTCTCTCTTCCCTCTGAAAAGGGGATACAGCTCATCAACCATCTCATGGACCTACAGTTCTGTTCAGCTGTACTATCTGTCTTGCAACAGTGAACCGACCTTAATGTAGCTGACCCAGAAGTGCAGCTAGAAACACTGAAAGCTAAGAAATGTAAGCCACATCCTTCTTTTCTTCCTACAGTTATAGGGTTGAAAGCATCCCATGTGGAGTTCCCACATCTGAATCTGTTCTACAGTCAGAATATCGCTATAATCATAGAATCATAGAATGGTTTGGGTTGGGAGGGACCTTAAAGATCATCTAGTTCCAGCCCCCCTGCCATGAGCAGGGACACCTTCCACTGGACCAGGTTGCTCAAAGCCCCGTCCAACCTGGCCTTGAACACTTCCAGGGATGGGGCACCCACAACTTCTCTGGGCAACCTGTTCCAGTGCCTCACCACCCTCATAAGGAAGAATAATGAGCCAATCCCAGCATCAGAGGACCACCGTGGCAGAGACATTTTCTGGCTCAATCCTTGTCACGCCCTCTGTAATGGCCATTTACAGGGAACAACACATGTACGAATATGGTAACAACTCTGCCCCCATCTATTTACTTCCTTCCACCAAGATCATTAGTCTTGTAGGTTCTGAACTGTATTTGTCACAAATTAGAGTCAAAACCTTGAGTTTATCTACAAATAATTAACCTCTTGCAAGAGAAGAGAACAAGTTCGCTACATGGAACTGTCTTTTTTTGCACTGTGTAGGTTTTTGTTATTCTTAACAGACCTGTGGGGCCCTGTGCTCAGCAATTAATTTAATCGGTGACAACGACCTCTTAGAAGAAAACCACGGTCTTCAGCAAGAAAGCTGAGACAAGTCTCAGCAAAGGCTTGGTAACATTAATATGCAACAGCATGAAGAATTCATATGTTATTTAGATATGATAACATGCTCAGGTACTTTGATTCTTACCCTGTTCCATTCTTTTTAATTCATTTAATACTTGTACATATTTACCTTGAATGTTGGCAATTAATATGCATTCATCTATAATGCATTCCAATTCTATATTGGAAACAATGATTTGCTGTTTGGGATCTGCATTTACGATTTTTGTTAACCATCTTTTGGGGACATAATAAACACCAACTTTTCCCAGTTGTTCCGGCAGGTTGCTTACAATTCATTTTATATGGCAGATGGGCTCAACACGTGGCCACAGAATACAGTGTTATTTATTCTGAAAGATGCAAGACTTCCTGCAGAGATGATGAAACTATAATGGCTGTTAAGAACGGAAATTATGCTAACCATGTAAATAGGTAGCTGTAAATAATACATAGGCATTGCTGTATTTCTTGAATCCTCTCACAGCAGGACACAGTATCAACTATTTTCAGTGCTAGGGTAGTGGGATCTTGAAAAGAACGACATAGCTATATATTGAAAACTGCTATGATAAATGGATATGCATTACGTCAAATGTGTGATACACAGCTCCATTTTTCAACACATAACACTCATTCAGAAAGTAACTGTTTAAAAATTACTTTGAGAGAGGCATCAACTGAAAACACATTGCACTTTACATACAAAACACCGATAAATACAGGTGCAAAGACAAAAAACGGAAATGAACTGATTAACTAGCCACAAGTTTTCAGGACTGAATTTTAAAATATTTTTTAAAGGAACACGCACAGTAAATCACATAGAATTTCTCACTGCAACCCACACAGTTGCAGATGAGCTGTTTGATTTCCTGTCATATTCTAAAATAAATTAAAAAATGATATACTTAACGACAACTTAGATTACCTAGTAGTAAAAGGAAGACCTTTTTTTCAAATAAAGACCTATGTGTTGATAGGAACACTAGTAGAAAGCTGCAAGACTTACTTCCCAGAATTTACTTGCCCAATTAAGTTACTTAAGGTAAAAAGCAAAGGTAATAAAAAGAAACAATGAACAAACCGGTTCTTTTCATTGGTTGAAATCAACACTTTCACAAATACAGCCTTCTCTTTGGATTAGATATTATCACACAGACTGGCAGGAAGACACATCCTTATTTTCACCGACTGAAAATCTGGCTCCACTGCAATCTCTTCTTTTGGCTTAATCAGGAGAAAGATCTGACCAACTGTGTATCATCTTGCTAGCACAGCTGATTTATGTCATTAAAATCTCCTGCCAATTCTCAGCTGTGGAAAGTAGATTAAATTAAACTCCTTCACTGCAGTCCCCTTCTGCCTTGTCGGAATCTTGATTACACACACCATGTCTCAGTAATGCATCTGACCACCGGTTCATAACACCTGTGGAACAGTGAGATGACACTGCATTCCTATTACCTTGTCTGAAAGCACTGGCTATGAGGAGTTACCTTTTTGACTTCATACTTAATGGCCAGCTTCACACGGCTCAGTGATGCTCTGTGTCTCTGCGCTTCAACTGGCTCAGAATTCAAGTCCCCGTTCAGAATGGCCTCCACTTCTTCCGAGTCTCGGCAGAGATCAAGAACGCCAACCACAAAATCCTTGCACTGCATAGACAGCTTGCGATAGTCATTCTGAAACAGAAGGGTTAGAGAAAGTGGCCCATGACGAACATGCTTAAGAGTCAATGGCAAGGAAAAAAGAACCTGTACAAGTTGCTAAAAATTAATAGCATGTGACTTTTACATAGTATGTCAAGTCAGGAGCGTATCAGACATTACAGAGCTCTTGCACAGCGGAATCATTTCTTCTCTGACACAAGGTAGCCACTTGAACAGAAGATGATGACAGCTGTTTAACAGAGCATGGGAACATTACGTCATAGCGTGATGAAAATAACCCAGATGGGCAGCAGGGGGAAGCTGAATGGACAAATAAAAATTGCAGAAACAAACCAGGACCAGAACTCTTGAAAAACTAACCTCACCCTTGCAAAAACTTTACAGACAATTAATGAAATAATTCTTACAGGGTTGCCTCCCAGGCTACGAATATATTTCTGCTATTTCTACGCTGCCAAAACAGCTGCTTACTCTTTACTCTGATGTATACTGTATTAATTTCCCCCCTTCCCCCCCCCCCCCCCTGTTCCCCCTGTGACTTGGAACTGCTTCACACCCAACAATGTGTACAGGGGGTTACGAAGTAACTGCATAGAATAACTGTGGCATGAACTTGGACACCAGTGTTATGGGCAAAATACCCCAAATTTCCTGTGTAGGCAACACTGTAACCAGCTTCTTCAAAGGACAGTTCAAAGAAATTAGGCTCCTGAGTCATCCTCCAAGAGACTACCTTTCCACTGACAACACAGCTGAACTACAGAGAGACATTTCTATAAACCTCAAGCCTTTAAGAGCTCTGTCCGCCTTTCCCTTTCTCCCCCTCTCTCCTTCACTTCCCTGTCTGTACCTGTCACAAACCATTCCTCTTCCCAAAATCACTTGTTACTTTCATCTCCCTCTTGTTTGCTCTCGCTCCAGCAGCTTTCCCTTCCATTACTGCTGGAGTCAACAGTTCTGCCTGTGTTACCTTCTGAAAATATGTAAAGCAAACATTTGTTTCCTGTTATTAAAAAACAACTCTCCCCTCCTCCTATTCAGATTCTTTTCAGAACCTGATCTTTTAGTAAAGCATTGCTTCCCCCCCCCCCTTCCATTTTGCACAGTATCGTTGGCCATTTCCAGACTTGTAGCTCGTTGACTAGAGCTGTGAAGTCTTACTGTGTCACGCAGAAAAAACTACTTTTTGCTGGTCCTTACTCTTTCTGTCTTTCCTCAGCCTCCTTCGACCCTTCAACACTTTTGGACTGTGTTCTGAGTTACGCCCATGTGCTGTGATCCTTTCTGTGCAGCTATTAAACTACCGCACCGAGGGTGCACTGGTACCGCCTTTCACTATGTTCGTACCTTATGTCTGGCATTCTGCTCACACGTTTCAAGCTCTTCATCCTTACTCTTTTTGCTGCCTCCCTATAAGCAAGCTTATGTCTATCTTTGAGGTGCTACCTTTAAAATTCTCAGTTGCTTATACGTGTCAACATCACAAAGATTTTCATCTATCTAATCTCCTCTCTCTTCTGACAAAACATTTATGAAGTTTTGAAGATAACTCTGTAAAGCACGCACATGTGAATCTTTGCTTGCACTTTTGTTTATGCTTGTGTATGTCTTCCACCACCTCTGTGACATTACTATAAGCTCTTGTCTGATATCTCCTTCAGTACAAACCTTGGTCTTCATTTAATCCTCTTCATTCAATCCTCTCAGCTAGATTTCTAGGACTTCTTCATCTGAGATGCAGCCTCCGATTTCCTCACGAGGCTTATAGTTGGAGGAAGAAACTTGACTGAACCTGCCAATTTTACCTTGTTTTATCAAGTGTTTCAGTGCCCAACTGAAAATAGCACAGCCTTCTTTTTCAATTACTCCACAGCTTTTCCTCATTTTTTTTCCTCCACTAGGCCATAAAAAGGATAGTCTGAGTCCTCTGTCTCTATTTTTGTTTGTTTGCTGTTCATTTTCAGACACTGACTTTTTTAAATCACTTTTGGGGGGTACAGATTTTTCCTTTGTGGTTCCTGCCTTCTCATACTGCTTTTGCCCTCATAGTTTTCTCATTTAATCTCAAATTTTCTTCCCGAAACCCTCACTATTTCCCCCTTGCCTAACCAACCTTTCCCTCCTTGTACTGCTAGTTTTGTTAAATTTTTAACTTAGCATCTATAAAACGGGATAGAGAAACTAACGTGCTTTCAGTAATTTCAAATTAGTTTGGGAGAAGATGGGAAAAGAGGCTACACAGAATAATTGCAGGAATCAGCTATCAGTCCCATAGGTCAGATTCAGGTATGAATCAAAATGAAACATTACTGGAGACAAACAAATACTACTAGGAACTGTGTTATTATGGAAGACTAACATCCCAGATACAGACTTGGAAACAACCAGTCCTAATCAGAGACCTAAACAGGACCCTGTCGTGGTTTAACGCCAGTCAGTAACCGCACACCACACAGCCGCTCGCTCACTCCCCGCCCCCCCGTGGGATGG